GTGACCAATTAAAATGCAGACAAATAAAACGAATTAGATTGCTCTTCATACCTTGTAAGCATAATCTTGACTCTGACCGGCCAAGAGAAACGCGAGGCCAGGAACGTCGCTGTCTGCAACAGGATCATCTCCAGCTTCGATCAGCAAAACATTCCAATCCTCAACTTCCGTTAATCTGCGTGCCAGAACGCTGCCTGCTGTGCCACCGCCCGCGATTATAAAATCGAACTCTCTGCTCGATGACACGATTTCCTCAGTTCTGTCCATTGGATAGTCGTTGCTTTGGCTCAGCATGCATTGCGACGTCAACAGCAGTTGTATCAGGTTAGAGAATATCGAGGCGGGCGTTTGCGACGAGGCTGCCGTGCAACTGGCGCTCATACACGAGTCCATGTTCTTATTTATTTCGTTTACTGGTGTTTCCTGCGGCACATCGAAGTGTATAAAAATTTCTTTTCGTTCTCTTTAATTCTTTTTGCTTTTAACAACGTACAGTTGTACAAAGATATAAATTGTTCAATCTCCAACGAGCCAGTGTGATAATAATTTAATTGCATTTCGCCGTGAGCGAGTGATACTTGTCCTGTCTAGTAAGTGTGTAAAGTTGGTGTTTGTCTTCACGTGCTAAGCTTTATCAGTTTTTTCACGAGAGAGTAAATGTTCTAAATAATGTTTTCGAGTAATTCCGGTAAGATGGACGAATTCAAAACGAACAAGATCTACGAGCGTCGTCTGCAATTGTGACAAATCTTCGACAACTAAAGTTTGTCGATTTGTATTTAATTTGTGTTTCAATTGCAGCAAACGAATGTTAAACTGGTGGAAAATTCAAAATGTTAATTCGCCATCGTCAGACGTAATCTATCTTGATTGACGAGAAGAGATAGTAATTTTTTTTTTTTTTTCTTTCTTTCGTAAATGTTGCGTCTAAACGTCTAATTACGATTTTCCTATATTAATTATACAGTTTGGATAATTACCTGCTTCGACGATCGAGTAACAATGATTTCGCTCCACGTTCGTTGTGAGATTTCTCGACGTAAAACAGATCGAAACGAACCTTCGATCACAGATTTATTGCCAACTTGTCCTGCACTTGCACGTGAATAAAAACAATGTGCATCTCTCGCTGCCTTTTTATTTGATGCTATTCTTTCTAGGAATCGAACGTCTTTGACATTATCTTGCTCGTGTGTGAGATATATATATATAGCCTTATCTGCTTATGTCATATTATTCTGTTCCCCCTAACTATACTGCAACGTATAACGTTAGACTCGGATTATTAGTGGATACTCCTTCGCGATAAAAATTCCTCAAAGTGAATACACTGGGTGTTCTGAAAGAACAGATCCTCTGATACTCCTCGAGGGGGATAAAACATGTTTTAAAAAATAGTTTAGCAGTCCTCTTCGCAGAAAAATATCAGTTCTCATTATTTCCATTCACTGTGAATTCGATCTCGTGAAGTGAATTTATTTGCCAAACAAAAATAGAAAACTTGTCGACATTTGAAACTGCTGCTATGTTCATAAAGAAGGAAAAATCGTATGACAATCTAGTTGGCCTCGTTTAAAGTACGAAGCCTTCACTTCGATAAACGTTAGTTTCATTCAAAGATGTTTCTTTACATCCTGTAGCAAGGATACTTTCGTCCTTGAAGATTGTGAGAATTCAAATGCTCTGAGAACGTTGAGAACTTTTGAATTTCAAAGTCAGAATTTTTTTCCTTTTTTTTTTTTTTTTTTCGTTGTATTCTACTCACATCACAAAGATAGAACTTTTCTCAAGTCGCAGATCTAATTATACTTTTTGAGAAATGGCAAAAAAGTTTCTTAACACTGCGGGCGCATGGGTGCTAACAGCGACTTTATGATTCTGAACGCGTGGATGTCTGCATTACGTATTTCGAATAATGTTGACAGTTAGTATCGTTTGATTATTTAAAGTTACACCGATGCTATATAAATCAAATGTTAGTGAAATCTAATAGGAAAATTACGTAAAATAAATATAGCCATAAAGTCGTTGTTAGAACCCACGCGTGTTCGCAGTGTTAAATGATTAAGATAACTTTTTTTACCATTTTTCAACAGAACTGTTAGCTTGTGTTCCTTGGGAAAATGTTACTCTTCGTCACGAGTAGAACACAAGTGCAGAAAAAAAAATTTTTGATTTTGAAATTCAAGGTCAAGGTCGATTTTGTGGCAGCTTCTTTACATGTATCTTCATCGAAGGAAATGTAGAATTCCATGATGGTCAGGGACAAATTTTTTCTGTCCACCCGGTACACTGTAAAGTAGAAGTTTCTCGATTTAAAATGGTGACCAACCAACTGAATTTCGGTGGCGGCTTCGTCTCGTAAAGGTCAAACGATTTGAAGCTTCAATCTTTTATCGAATGGACTTTCATCTCTGTACAATTACAGTGATTAGAAAGAAGAAAAAAATATATATGCTTTACTTGCATGAAAATGCAAGAATGCAAGAATTGAATTGCAGGATGAAGTGGTATGTTAACAGGACTCATTTTCATAAATAATCTATCGTACGCCAAGGTAACATGCAGCGCAATGAGCAATTTTCAGTAATGAGTTGCGCAATTTAAAAAAAGGAAAATTTAAAAGTCAATTTTCTCGTTCTCGCTCGAAGATGGAATATTCATCGCGAACGTATACTTGAATTCGGAGTAAAATAATTAACGGAAAGATTGCCTCCTCGTTCCTTCGAGTGCTTCGAGAACTATCAGAACTCGAAAATTTGTCAAAATTATGGGAAATGAAGCTGTCGATCGATCGATCGATGGAAAACTGAAATTATTAGACTTTGGAACTTCATCAATGCTATAATTATTATTTACAATATTCCTTCGTTTTTTCTCAAAACACTGACGAACCATCGTTAATGAAAAGGCAGTGGCCAGCAACGTTAAAGTTGGGAATCGATTAAATAAAAACCGAAAACTAAATTATCATAATGAAGATTGTAACATTATAAACAACATCATGTGTATCGATAAGTGCCATTACAATAGTTGTTACGTGAAACAAGTAACGCGATATTATTTATGAGTATCATGGTAAATTTTCACCTTCATGTTATTTGCACAAATAAAATACGTGTTAATTAAATGTTGAAATTGATCAATCCTCGACTTTTTCTTAAACATTCGAAATTTACAGACATACGTAGAACTTTGGTGACTTATTCCACGTACGCATATCGGATATTTTATCGCTATTTTATTTTTATTTTTATTTTTTTTTTATCGTTATTTTATTTTTCTTTTTATTTATTTTTTTATTTAGAAATTTTCAAACACAAAGACCACACGTGTTCACTTCGAAATAGACGAATTGTTATTCAGAAGCGTTTTTTCGATAATATCGCAGGAAGGTCAGACGAAGTATATTTAGCAATTCAAATTCGACAATGGTCTAATGATTTATTTATAAGAAAGGATATTCATTTAATGATAATATTTTCATATATAAATATATTTTCACGCATGAAAATATAGGATTGACGATCGATCTACACAAGTTTCATTCTGAGTGGACAGAAATCAAAAGTTTTACACAACAATCGTCTACCAGTATTAAAAAAAAGAAGTTTTTAATCATTGTAACAAATATTGAATTGGACAGTGCTGTATTAAATCGTTGTCAATTTCAATTTAATGTTAAGTGTAATGTTAATACTATATTCCATAAATACTAATATTTCATTATTATTACAAATTCATATTTCGAGTATATTATTTGTCCATTTAATATTAGACAATTATTTATAATATTATAATTATTATAAATAATTTATAATTGTAATATAATATTATTATAAATAATTATTTATAATATTAGTTATAATATTATAAATAATTATCATGTTACTATCATGCTATTATCATGATACAAGCATTATGTACATAAAGCAACATCTTACTGTCATGTTATTATCAAGTTACTATCATGCTATTATCATGATACAAATATTATGTTCACGAAGGAACATCTTTATCACTGAATCTTAATGTGAATAAAATTTTAATTTTAATTAAAATGTACAAAATTTTTCATGCTATTAATTACAACATAGATTGAGCGATTACAGGCGTGCCAATATCTTTTTGACTTTTTTTTTTTCATTTTTTATTGTGTAATTCATCAGTGAAAATTGCCACTGTGCACATCACTATTTATAGAAACAGATTTTGTTAATGAATCATTTCCTTTCACAAAGGTATTGCAAGAAAACTAGATGATGTGCCGATAACTTTTTTACCCACTATATAATCCAGAAAATGGACAAAAATATTTGTACGCTCGATGAGAAATTACCGATACTCTGAACTGTTCAAACTTCGCGAAATGAAGTCGTACAACAATCCAGTTCACCTCATTTTAAATCGTGAAACCTCTATTTTACCAGCCTTGACTTCTTTTTTCCCCCCATCTTTTGTTTCACATCTTTGAAATAGACAGATGTATATGAATAGACATTGCATCTTATGGGATCCTGTGTCCCATGTTCTGAAATACCGACGTAGTAAAAAAAATCAGTGGTTTTTCAGCGCACTCTACGCTTAAACGACGGCGAACTGGAGAACTACGCCAAGTAAAACGATCGATCAAGTTGATCAATGCGGCTAGAAATGTAAAATTTTGAAATCCATTATAATGTTGACAAATTTTCAATTCCGAAATGTGATACTACTAACCGAAATCATGCTATGTGTGTATATCACAAAGAGTTCTATCCATTTTATTGATTTATGATATGTGAATATTTTTTCACATATAGCGAATTAAAATTTTGAAATTATTAATACATGCTTTTAGGTATAATTGATTTATATACTTCATTGTTTCTCTAAAACAATTTTTAATTAGCTAAATTTTCAACTATTTTAAACATATTATTAATGTTATAATATAACTAATATTATTAAATATTAAAATTATTATATTTTCTCATTTACTTTACATCACGTGTTCAAATTTCTTTCCAACAATTTTATTCTGATTGTGCAATATCATAAATTCTATTATTCATTAGTTAAAAATTACGTGTTTATTAATGTAAAATCATCTGCGGATGTTTCTACATTGTGCAGCAGATGAAAAAGCAGGGAGCATTTGTATCGTCGGAGTAGAAGTTCAACTGTAGAAGTTCAAATACCTCCGAAACTACTTGTTGAGTTGCATCCGCTTGCCGTTGGAACTGACTCAAACTCAATTTCGTACAGATTCCTTTGATTAGTGTTTCTCGTGATTAGTGATTGATTTTTACAAAGTGAATCACGTAATCTGCGTATCTATCTCGCGTCTAATGTCTATCTTCACGGTTGACGGGCAGTGTCTTGTAGACTTTGACTGGCGAATTACCGCCAATAAATTCGAATATGGGAACAATAAAAAAAGG